CACGTAATGCGATGCTGTCGTGTCTGTGTGCAGGACGGTGTGCAGCAGCACCTGCTACAGAGCGGAGACCGACACAGGCAGAGAGACATGGGGGCTCTACAGAGTTCATCATTTCAATAAGGTCAGAAGCCACACAGAAGTTTAATGTGTACATTTGCTGTACATGGACAAACCAATGATAATGTAAGTGGTTATTTGCTTGTGCGGCTGCTTGCTTCTATGTGCGTCTGTGCAGGTGGAGATGTTTGGAGTGACGGCAGACGAGACAGGAGAAGAAAGCTCGCAGCTGCTGCAGGAGTTTGTCAGTCTGCAAAAAGAGATGTTTTCTGCACTGGAACTGCACTACAGGTCAACACACACACACACACACACACACACACACACACACACACACACACACACACACACACACACAGTCTTACTGTCTCCTCAGCTGCTTGCACTGGTTGTAAGAAATAGTTTTGTGTAGTGAGGAAAGATGGAAAGCTGAGCATAATAACAAAAGACCAAAGATATAAAATATTAAGTGTAAAGGTATTTTTAGTGTTGATGTGTAAACACTGTTTTCCGTGTTTCTGTGGCTCTGTATACCCACTACAATGGTCGCTTTGTTCCACAACATCATCTCACAGTCACTTGTATTTATATCCAACATTAAGACGCTGCAGTATTTTTCTGAACACTAGGTGTCGCCACTCAGACAATATTGCCACATAAGTGCTGATATAGGAGGAGAAGAACTCAAAAACAGAAGCCAACAATTTGTCCAGTGTTTTTTGTTTTTTCCCACTACAAACTCAGGCTTTCTGTTCCAACGTCTGTATATCCGTGTGTCTCTGAGCTTCTGTACTGGTATATCATTAAAATGGCAGTATAGACTGACAAGATCCTACACTAGTCTCTTCAACTCAGCTGCAGTGGCCATGGCACAGCTGGCTACGTTACAAAGATCAAGATGTGCATGACTGGCTGAAGCAAGACAGGATGTGATGTCAAATTCAGTGCGCAACACAATGAACATATTGGGGCCATAAATGTTTTCTGGCCATTATTAGCGTGGTAGTGTTTAGTTTTCTTGGCCAGGTGAGGTTTGCACCCTTATTATTCCATTAGTTCACTGGAAATCTCAATATGAGGTCCAAAGAAATTGAGATTTTTCCATTGAAAGTGGAAAAGTCCATTAGGCTGTAAAGCCAAAAGAAACCTATCAGATATAAGAAACTGGTACATCCTTTAAAAGAAGGATTGCACTGGCCAGCTTTGCCAGAAATCATTTGAAAGAGCCTCAATAGTTCTGGAAAAAAAATCAGTGGACAAATGAAACCAAAATGGTGTTTAAGAAAAGTATGGAGGAGGAGAGAAATGGCTCATGATCAGAAGCATAACACATCATCTGTAAAACATGGTGGAGGTAATGTTGTGGAAAGGACATGTATGGCTAGAACCAGGTCACATGTGTTGGTGACTGGTGACATTATGACCTCGTCCCTCTTCTTCTCGGTAAAGCTTGGAATAATTTCAGTACTTCTGAAAAAAACAAAAGCAAAAAAACAAAACAAACCTTCAACTTCGACTGGAAAGTGACCCGATTAGGATTTGTCAGTCACATTTTTGGCCATTCAAATATGAACAGGTGAGCTGCGTTTCAACGGTACACATGTGTCTAAAAGGATAGAATGATGACTTTTTATATCCAAGGGGTCGAGTCTGGGGAGAAATGCTTCTAAAGTGCTCATTGACAGGCTGACAATCCCATGTAGTCATAAAGCAGTGAGTTTGGTTGAACCCTGTTCTGTCTTGAATTTGAAGTGAAACAGAAAAAAAGTAGATTTAAAGCTCAAGTCACCCAATGTCTACAGAAAATGCAGCACTACTTTCACTTTACACATCCCTCACATGTTGAGATCTGACCCTTACCTGTGACTATTTTCTTCTTCAGAGTGCTAGACATGCCGACAGAGGAACTTGGCCCTCCGGCACACAGAAAGTATGACATTGAAGCCTGGATGCCTGGGAGAAACAGCTATGGAGAGGTCAGCCCTGTTATATAAATATTACCCATTTACCTACTTACTTCCAGTTACCTCATTTCTATTTCTAATCAAGAAGCTTTCAGTTTGTACAGTCAATAGCGACTCACACCACTCCTGCATGAATAAATTTACGGACTGGTTTTTATAATTGTTGCTCATTTTATATCCTCTGTATCTCAGGTTTCCAGTGCGTCCAACTGCACAGACTACCAGAGTAGACGCCTCAACATCCTGTATGAGAGAGAGGACGGCAGTCTGCAGTACGCCCACACAGTAAGACTGCAGATGATGCTGCACTGCTGTATATTGCTGCTGGTTAGATATACCACCTCCGTAATCTATGTTTTCTTCCTCATCCTAGGTGAACGCCACAGCGTGTGCAATCCCCCGAACAGTAATCGCCATCCTAGAGACGCACCAAACCAAAGTAAGACACCAGCAGCATTTTTTTCCCCCCCACATTAGTTTTTTCCCCCACATTATTATGAAAGACAGTTCTGTAGTATATTCCCCTCATGTTTCTCATAATAAAACGTCAGCTCATCTACCTAACACAGTGTATAATGTGTAATATTTGTGGTGTTGTGACTGTTGTGATTCATGTTTCTCTAAATCACTTCTGTCAAACTCACATCCTAGCCTTCCAAACATTTTTTTCTGGGACTTTGCACATACACGTGAGGTTCTAAATAAATTTTACTCGACCTAGTTACAGCAACTGTCTGCAGTAATGCGCCCCGTGCACACGCCACAGTGGAACAACAAAGGAAAGTTGAGGCTGCTGGGAGAGAGACAACTTCTTTACTGAGTGTAAAGAAAGCTGGTGACTCTATGTGCCACAAGACAGTTTGTGTTTGCAAAGAATAATTTGTTTTGTAATTCTGAATCAGCACACAGAGCCACAGAAGGGTTAGAAGTTGTAAAAGGCAAGTCTCACTGCAGCAGTGGAAACGGCAACCGAGTCAGGTTGAGGTTGAATGGTACAGGTGAACTTCAAGATCAAGGATCTTTAAATTTTTTCTAAAACCCACTGAGCTGTCACGTTCAGGCTCTATACCAGGGGTCTCAAACTAGCGGCCCACATCACCCCTACTTTATATTGACGTGAAGTTACTTTTTTGTTAGGGAGGATTTGTTTGTTGTTGAGTGCAATGCTACAATAAGTTCTTTAAAAAGGAAAAAATGACTTAATAGGAAGGCAATATGAGCAGAGAGTACAAACGTGATGAGGGATTGGGTGTGTTAGTTCAGTGAGAGAGTTATTTGTAAAGAAAACAATTTTCACTCGTAGTCCAAAACGAATGTGTACACTTAGGTCTGCATTTTTATTTCGGTAAATACAAACAAAATTATAGCAGAAGTGCTGGCACGTGTCTGGCCAGTTTGTTCATTTGGTAGTTCAGTGAAAGGCTTCAGTTAGTTAAGAGTGAGAACAATAATTGTGCTCACTTTAGCAGTTTTGTCTTGTTATACAAAATGTGAAATTTCAAAAAACAAACAAAACATGACATTTTTGGAAATATTTGTGGGTGTTTTTGTGGGTGTTTTTTTTTTGTACTACTTGAACACTAAAGTGTCCCTCACACGAGATGACAGAAGTGGCCCACAGATATTTTAAGTTTAAAACCACTGATCTAGACTGTAGTAAAAGATGGATACCTTGACATCGCATATACCTGAGCTAAACATTTTCGCCGTTGTAGCAGGTTGATTTTTTTTTTTTTTTTTTCGTTTTCAGCTGTTCTTTTGATTTGCTGCTGTGTTTGGATCATTGTGTTGGTGCTGATAGGCTGTGTGTGGTTTTACGTTTTCACAGAGGACTTGTTCTTGAAATCTTGAAGCTTTTCAAACCTAACTCATGCTGCCATGCTCTGTTTCTACATCAGAGGCTTTCTCCTTTCAACACTTCCAAACAATCCGTACTTGTATAATTGTGCCATCATGAACTTTAACCATTAAACTTCTCGGAGCATTGCACAGCCAACATTTGAGGTAAATTTGCTGGGATGTCCACTCTTAGGAAGGTTGTAGCACGTGTTAACACACACCTGAATGCTCCAGACCAGCAAAGTCCCAAAGTTCTGCTTTTTGTAAAGGTACTCGCACTCAATGATAATCAATTAATTAAGTGCATTTGAATAACACCAACTGGCTGTTAATTCTTATAGAAGTAGTGAGGGTGTATTTAGTTTTTCACAGGAATTGATAAAGTCTAGCTCTTTTTTCTCATATGTTTCAAGAAGTTTTGAAACTAAGACTATACTTCCTTACGTTCTCTCACCAGGAGGGAACAATACGTGTTCCCCGAGCCCTGCAGCCTTACTTGAGTCTGGAAGTGATTGAGAAGCCAAAGTACACTCCACTGAAATACATCGGACCCAATCAGCGCTACCCACCACCAAGGCCGGCTCCTAAAATTAGATGACACTAACACAAGTTCAACACTCTAAACAGAAGCCATCGTCTACATAAATAAATAACTGTTTGTTTATTTAATGCAAGTGGATTGGTTGATTGACCGTGTCCCTCAAAAGACATAAAAAACGTTGAGAGTGAATTAAGTTTGTCAGTGTTTGAAAGAAGACCACTGTAAATAGATTCATTCCTTTGTCTAATGTAATGAAACTGGTGTCTTTTGTCTGGATAATTAGAGGAACAATAAGAAAAAAGCAATAAAAAGTGTGTATATCTCCAATATCGTTACTTTGGGGTTTTTTTCCAGGGGGCTGCATATATAGACCTTGTAGATGGATTAGCTCTACAACAAAAACACACTATGTGCCTTTGAAGGAGGGAGCTTGCAGTTGGATATTTAATAACTCCCAAAGGTGACATACAGACCTGTTAATGTGCCTTACATTACCAGCTGTTTCAAAGTGATCTGCTAAAATAATTGAGCAGCAGCTAGAGGAGGTGATGGAGCCTACAGGGAGCCTGCAATCAAAGTGTTATCCTAATAGTGTCATTGAAGAGCTTGTTGGCTGGGGTTTAAACAGAGCGCAGTTTAAGTTAATTTATTTTCACTTGACTCCAAGGAGAGCTGCATGCCCCTACTGTTATCAGAGTTGATGCGCAAATATTCTTTGCTAAGTACAGGACGTCAACCTGATTCTCTGGCACCGGTCTGGGCTTTAATCGGTCACCTGACACACACACACACACAGAGGACTGTGCTCCGCGGCTCGGCTCCACCTCGCTCGGCGGGTGTGTGAAGAAGATCCAGCCCGTTATTTCAAGGTTATCTCCTGCAGGAGCCTCACTTTCTGGATCCTATGGGAATTCTGATAACCGCGGTGTTTCTCTGGGCTGCCGTCGGAGGTAAGCATTCATCACATCCATTAAACACACACACTGTGTGCATGCAGGGCGCTTTTAGTGTGAAGTGGCGGCAAAAAATTGGCAAGCTAAGCCGAAGACGACCCAGTTCTTTACACGCTACTACCTCAGCTACTCTTTTTACCGCCATGGAGCCGGCTTTGTGATAGAAACACACACAATAAACGCGTTTTAGCGCTACTTTGTGGCGCAGACTGGCGCTTTATGCTAACCTAATGGCGGAATCCGCAGGGGTTTAAGACTAATAGGCTAAACAGGAGCGTTGTTACATAATTTGTTGTGCGCCCACCTTTGTGTGCCTGTGGGGCGATGCTGCTTCTGCCCGTAGACACATTTCACACACAGAGGAGTATTTCAGTGTTTAGGGATTCCCGGCTTTGTCCGCTACTAATCCAAATGGAAAAAGCTCCGCGCGCAGGTGAGCGGAACAGCGCACACGTGCGCGTGATGCTCAGCTGCACGCGCCAGCCGCTGCGAGAGCCAGCGTAATCAATTATAATCTGGGGGGAGTGTGCTTCACACACACACGCGCGTGTCTGCAGGGGCGCACAGCTCTGTCAGTAACCTATAGAGGATACTACAAGCTGTGGGTTAGAGTTGTGTCGCAGTGTGTGAGGGCAATAACCCCACCCTAACACTATACAACCAAATCTATTATTACATTAAAATGGATATAAAATACTGCATAATGCAACTGCCGCTCCACATCTGTCAGAGCCAACACTACATATTGCGCATCCTTCAACCCCCCCCCCCCCCCCATAATAAATGCACCTATTCCTGATGCAGACAGACATTTGGGGGCTTGTTGAGCAGCTCGTGTACTCCACTAATTTGACTTGGACACGTGATGTATTCATTTCTGAGCGGACAAGCCGAAATAAAGCCAGATCACGGTGATAATTATGGTGCTGGGGTGTCCCAGCTTGCACACACACACTTCGTCATCACATGGACATGCAGACTGTTAAAAGGCCAAACTGTAGGCAGCTCACGTGTCTGCGAGGGGGCACCAGTGGTATCAGCTGGTCCCGTATTGATCCTGCACTGATCGGGCTGCGAGCTGCGATCCCACAGAGCCCAGATAAAAGTCAGAGCTTTAATTTTCCTCAGTGTCTTTTATTATTTATAATTATTTGTGAATACATAACATTTGAAGTCATGTTTGATGAAGTGAACCTTTATGGAGTCTTTCAAACAAAACCGTTGTTGTTAGCTGATAGACACAATCAAAGTGAAGTGGTTTTAATAAATAAGCTGATGAGAAACACTAAGAAAACAAAACAACTGTTGATTTCCATTATGTGACTCAGAGATATATATATTTTTTGTAGATGTGAGTAATTCCTTAGAAACTTCCTTAGAGAAATTCTCCTTTGTGTATTTTGGGTGGCACTGTTAGTGTGGTATGCTTGGCAGTGGTGGTTTTGGAAGAAAAATGCACTTCATGCTAATAGAAGTACACGCTCATTAGGCATTTTAAGTCAGTCAAAAAATATTATGACAGTTAAAAACGTATTTATTTTTCCCTTTTTATGTCAGGGGCCCAGACTTGATGATATTTGCCTTTATTTATGCATGATTTTCTTCATAATTGTGATGGCAAAGTACCACTAAAAAAAACAAAAAACAATCTTGTAAAGTAAAGTTAACATGTGCGATGACATTTGTAAACAAAGAGTGAATAAAGCTGCTGGAACTGAGCAGCATCACGTCTCACACTTCAAACAGTCCTCGCTCCCGGCGCGCAATAATGAAGGAGAGGGTTGCAGGCTGCAGGATGAACATGGATTCTTGGTCCTCGCTAGATGCAGTGTATCACCGTGAGGAAAAGGCACTAGCAGAGCAGCTTAGTGTGCCTTTAATGACTGGCTGGCTTGTGTGGTATTGGTGACTGATTTAACCCGGGTGGGAAACGACCTTGTGAGCTAAAGCTTCTGGGAACGACTGCATCCTGGAGTGCGAGAGAGAAGGGGGGACTGGGAGTTAAGCACATTAACAAGGGAACAGCTCCACCTACGCTCGCACAGAGCAAACGGTTGGAAAGTAAACAAACTACTTCATCTGTGGTGCAAGGTTTCAGCTCCTTTTACTGATAGAAAACTGCTGATTACATTGATTTTTAGTCCAATTGTCCCTCCGTGCCTCACCGTGTTCACTCTGCGTCTCTGTCTGTGTTTGTGTTTCAGTGGGAAGCCGGCCAGTAATCTCACCCCTTAATGATGCAAAGGTGAGGAACAAGACTTTATTTTTGAATTTCATCCATCAGTCTGCTGCTTTTTAATTACTCAACTGTAAAATATGTGTGTGTGTGTGTGTGTGTGTATTGTACCATTAGGTTGAATGTATTATTCAGGAGACACTGAATGAAGATGGGTCACCGCACGATTGTGGCCCACAGCTAGCAGGTAGGTAACCAATTAGCTGTTCTTAAGAGATCAGATGGTGTCATGCAGGGTTTGGTGTGTGCGGTTTGATTGCACGGTGATTAGGCTCGCTTGTGTCTAATTGTTTTTTGCAGATGAACTTGATGAGGTGCACAGGCATCAGGGTCTTCTCAGGGAGCTGCAGAAACTGGCTGATGATGGTACACATAAATTCACACTGCCTCAGTCTGATGTTGTTTTTAAGATATTACTACTAAAAAACCCCCATAAAACATGGGCACTTATATTTGTTGTCTTTTTTTATGTCACACTGACTGTTTCCATTTTTCAGAGAGAGATAAGGAGCATGATGATGAACGTCAGCGGTACGAGTACAATCTGGCCAATGATGAGAAGGATGAGAATGACTTCGAGGAGACGGGAGAGGACGAGAGAGATCTGAGCAACCTCGCAAAGGAGACAGAGGGAGAGGAAGAAGACAAAACAGAGGATGATGACACCAAGGAGAAGGTGATGGAGGAGCCGCGCATTGAAGACAGAGAGAGGGATGACGAGGAGGAACGAGCCAAGGAGCTCGAGGAGTTGCTTGCCGAAGAGCTCGCCAAGAAAGGCAAGGAGGAGAGAAATGACGAAGAGCTCAAAGAGCTGCTGAAGGAGCTTAAAAAGAAGAGGTATGAGGTGGTGAAGGAGAGGGAGATCCAGAAAGGCGCTGGGACGGAGCACAAGGACAAGGTGGAGGACAAGAAGAAGGAGCAGCAGGACAAAGAAAAGAAGGAGGAAATGGTGGAGGACTTGGAGAAGCAGAGGCTCGAGGAGAGGAGGAAGAATGAGGTGGAACTGATGGTGGAGAAAGAGAAGGTGGAAAAAGAGTTGAAGGAGCTGCTCAAGGAGCAGGACAGCAAGGGCAAGCCAGAGCAGGAGAGGGAGAGAAAGGAGAAGCAAGAGGAGCTGGATGAACTCGTCAGGAAGATGAAACGGGTGCAGGAGGAGGAACAGCAGGAGGTGCAGGGCAGGGAGAAAGAGGAAGACGAGGACCAAAAGACGGGGGAAGAGAAGAAGGAGGACAGTGAGAAGAAGAAGGAGGAGGGCGAGGAAGGAGACAAAGAGCCCGACTCTGAGAAAACAGAGACTGGATTTAAGAAGGAAGAGGCAGCAAAGGAGGTGGAGGTGAAGGAGCCCCAGCAGAAGAGAGTAATGGAGAAAGCGAGCGATGAGGCTACACGGCAGTTTGAGCGGGAGCGGTACAAGGGTGAGGAGGAGGAGGATGGAAACGGGGAGGACGAGGAAGATGAGGATGAATATGTCAGGGAGGATGAGGAGGGGCAGCAGGAGGAGGAAGACAATGAGGGTGAAGAGGAGGATGAAGAAGATGAAGGAGAAGTAAGTTAGAACAATTAATGGGTACATTCAGGCTTAACTGCAGATTACAGTGTAATTATACTGTAGTTACTTGGTAGTTATTGGAACCCATAGAATCATGATATCATCCTTGGTGATGTAGTATTGTTAAAGGGACACCAAATAACGACATTTTATTAAATAAATTAAAACTCTCTGGGAATACCAGAACCAAAAGGGGTCATGTGACCTGGCAACCTTGATAATCTCATTTTTAATCACATAAATAAATAAATAAATAACTGAAGTAAGATAACTTTTTTTAATTGGCTAAAACAAATACTGACAAAGTTTAAATCTGAGGACATTACATGCGGTTAAAAAAAGGTGATAAATCACAATGTATGTTACTGTAATATTCAGTATATCACAAAGTAAAAGATTTTACACTTTCAAAATCAAACATGAAGCATTAAGACCAATACGTCAGAGTGAAATGCAACTGAAATATATAAAATCAGTGGTTCATTTATTCAAACAATTAATCATTAAGGTAAATATGCTTGGTATATAGTCGGTGTATACAAGTCAATTTAATTTGACCAGACTCCATTAAATGGAACATTTATTATTGCATGTTTTGTTTTTTGTTTTTTTGTTGTTTTTTTTTTTTTTTTTTTTGGTGGGGGGGGTGTCTCTTGTTACATTGACAGTGGTTTGGGATAGTTGAAAAATATGCTTTCTCTTAGCTTGTCTGTTCAAATTACAAATGCACTGATTCCAGGCTTGTGCAACTGTTTTTTAATCTGCAGGAGCTGCTGGAGATTGAAGCAGAGCTGCGCAAAGTGGCTGCAGAGCTGAGGGAACTTCGCAGAGGATAAGATACCCATAACCCACACGCACAGCAGAATGACAAAACCCCTTTGTTGCATTCACAGTCACACATTCGGCTCACACAGTTTCCATTTAACAGCCTTCAAATCCCTTCAACACTCAGAGGAATCTGTAAATGGACATTAGTGCAAAGTGTACATACTGTTGGTTCATTTCTGCTTTTAGATTGCCTGGAGGGAAAAAGAATACTCTTTTTTTCTTCTCTTTTGGTCATTTGGATGTGTTTTTGTGTTGAAGAAAAAGACGTAGTTTTCCCAGAGAATCTGAAAGCTTGTGCTCATCACCGTTGCCCCTGTCTTCTCGAGTATCTGTAAATAACGTGCGTGAGGTAGACAGGCGATAGATGCAATAGCATTTCAGCACTTTCATTCAGATGTTAGTTTGATTGCAGATTGTCAGCCACGAAGAGTCATGATCATAGCAATCAGCGCTTCTTTTACTCTGAAGGTTTCATCTTTGATGGCGTGTTCTTGTTTCAGGAAAAAAAAATACAGTTTCCCTATTATAAGTAGTTAGTGTATTTTAATATACAGTATATTTTGTGCAATAACTGATAACTGTGTGTACCCTGCTGTTCCGACTGTTAACGATACTGCTGATATTTGTACCCAGGAGGAAGTCGTTATCTCCTCTTAATTTCTTTGGCGACTTAAGTAGAAATGAAGATTGTTTGTTTCATTCGGCGCACGCACTGTTACAGCCAGACTGTTTGCGACGAACCGGGGTGACACAAGCGAAACACACACTTGCACGTACGTCACACTTTAAGTTTGTCTTTTGCCTGGTTGATCGTGTGGCAGAAGGAGGTGATGTACTTACAGCTTACAAGGTCTAAAAGTGTCACCTCAGGTTTCTCAGCCAGCTTTGCACTCTTATCTTAACAAGCCAAGGAGGAGCTGAAGGAAGGAGGAGAGGAAAAACTAAAGCCATTTGTTGTCTTTTTGGTAACAGTGACACCGACAATAACGTCGATAAATACTAGGTAGTGTTACATCCCAGTTTTAATGGCTGTCATGTCATTTCTGTAAATATCAGATATGTGGTCTGTAAGCCAAGGTCATGGGAAATATGAAGCAACACCGCCCCCAAGAGGACACTGGGCAGATATGCACTTAGTGCAGGATTAACAGGGTTGCTACTGGAGGCCCACTTAGTGCAATAACACAGTATAGACTAGAGCACACGCGAATGCAATAATTAGCCAAATACTGAATTATTTAATGTATTTTAATATGTAATCAAAGTGCATCATGTGGTACTCGTATACAAATATTTCTCTTTTTTCTACAAGGCCGAGATTTACGATACGTTTATGTATTTGAACACTGGCCGAGCCGACGGTCAACTTGTGTAAACACGTGGTAATAATACACGTTATGAATCAACACTGACGATGTTATAGCAATCTATTCCAAAGAGGAGATGCTTGTTCGCTCAAAGGTTAATCAACATGAATGTACTGTAGTTCCTTTTTCTATAGAAATACAAAATGAATCTCACAAACCAGCAGGATCACTGCAGGAAACGTCTGTGGGGAGGTGACGCGCTCAGCATAGAGGACATATGACACAATATGGAAAAAAGTGATTAAAAAAGGCATTTGTATTATTACTGGCCAATCAGAGTGCTATATTTTGTGCCTGCTGTATCTTCTTCTATGCTACCTGTCAATCAATAAACAGAAAAGTATACTCAAGTACTGTAGGTTGCCTTTTTTTTTTGCTTGTTTGTTGGCCTTAACAGAGCAGAGACAATTAGCAGGTCAAAGTAATTAGTGTGTTTTGAAGAGGATAAAGTTCGGGATCAAGTTTTGCTTATCCGTGATCAACTCCTGGGGTGACAAACACCCACTGTTTCCTCAGAGGAACCACCTGTAGTGTGTGAACCAGCAGCGGCGTGTTTGTCCAACACTGACTGGATGTGGCTGAGCAGAGAGGAGAAAAACTGAGGCATGCCCTCGTAGCCTAGCAGAGAAAAGAGCGCATCAGAAAACGACAGTGTCTTCCTGTGTGTAAGTCACTGTGTACTCCGGCACTACCTGGGAAAATGTTGATGTCGATGACGGTGAGCGCGTGCGTTCCTATGTTGACGATGACATCCACGCCAAACAGGGCCATGCCGAGCTGAGCTCGGAGCTCCTTGACGAGGGCGGCCACAGCATCTGAGCTGGGAGAAGGCGGGTCCACCATATGTTCATCCACCTTAGAATATGAGACGTGGCATTTTATGGTGGACATGAGCAGCATTTGACCTGTTGCTTTAAACTAAGTCCGAAATATTACTCACAGACGTGAGATTAGAGTTCGACTCTGGTTTGGACACCTTTTGGCTGTTGAAGAAGATGGTCTTCCTGTCTGCAGGCAGGGAGAAAGAGAAACTGTTATACAGAAAGCAAAACTAGGTGATAACAGTGGCACATGAAAGTAAAAGTAGTAGAGAAAATGAAATGCTGGAACTCAAAAGGAAGGGACACAAAACGAAAGGAAAAGCAAGAAAGGTAAGGGCGATGCAAGTGAGTTAAAAAAGTTAAATGATAAAGTTAAATGATAAAAGACGGGAAAGACGAAAGGAATATTGGCGGGGTAGAAACTGACCACAGGGGCCGGAGGGAAAGTTCTTGATAGAGGGTCTCTCTACGCAGCAGTGCTTGTCTCCTACCACAAACACTTTGTACAAAACGGCTCCGTGGTTCACAAAACTCTGAAGCACACAGGGGGGATGGATATCAGCCAGACTGGCTGCACTGAAGAGCAGACACATCTGCAGCATGGAGACCACATGAGATTAAGAAATGGAAACTTACAAGAATACATTTTACAGTTAGTAGTTAGTAGATATCAAGTGGGATTTTGCGAGGCAGGAAAAACCAAATCAGCTACCTCATGTGAATATGAGCCGTGTGCCACTCTGGTTTTACAAACTGAGGTGAGGAAAAGAGGAAGTGTTTGTGTGTTAGTATTTTATTTTTATAAAACTGAATTGCATGTTACCTCCAGGCTTCAGTCACACACACACATGCATGCATGCACACAAAGATAATAAGTAAGAAATGTGGAGGACAGACATTAAGTGAACTGACTGAGAGGAAATGTTAGGCCCTGTCTTATCACAGCCTGCTGAATGGATGACAGGTCACTGCCACTGTGGACCTCGAGGCATGGGGGACTGCAGATACGCCAGTCTGACAAACAAAGAAGAATGAGTAACTGTTAATATCTGCGATTGAGCTGTAAGTTGTGTTACCGTTGGGCTAAGAAGCTGCAGTCACCTCGGAGTGAACTGTTCAGTTGGCTCATTATCCGACCCGAGATAAAGCGGTCTAATAGTTTAGCCATGGCAGGCAGGGGATCCAGCAGCACTGTGTCAGGATGAGCTGAAACATAACTCTGTGGTGGGAAAGAGAGAGGAGTCACTAACTGCTCATTAATGAAAACGTCCAGCTGCACCATTATTATTAACACCCGAGATTAAAAGACTACATGCAGAGGGTACTGGAGTATCCTCTGTCAGCAGCCCCAGATGAACACACAGTTTACTGGACTTGCAACATGAATAGTTTAAATAGGTGCAGCGTTACCTGAAAGTTATCAAGGAGCTGCTGTGATTGGCTATCGTGCTCAGCTTCCACAATTACGTCAGACAGCTTGTGAAGGATGATGTCAAAGGGTCCCTGAGGGCCCAGGGGCTGAGTGAGATCAATCTACAATAGAAAAAAAAATGTACAGGCTATGTTGATGAACTTCTTTTAATATAGAATTTTCTACTTTTTATTACAAGCTTCATTATCTTATTCTTTAATCCCAGTTTGGATTAGTGAGACAGACTCCCTCTCTACTTTTAGGACTAGACTTAAACTTTCCTTTTTCATGTAGTTAGGGCCGGATCGGGTGACCTTGAATCCTCCCTTTGTTACGCTGCAATACACCTAGGCTGCTAGGGGCTTCCCATGATGCACTGAGTGTTTCTTCTTCAGTCTCTATATATATTTATACACATTTATAAACTCTGTTTTTAATCATTAATTATTAAAATCTCTGTCTTCCTCCCCTCACCCCCAATTGGTCTCACAGATGGCTGCCCCTCCTTGAGACTGGATCTGCAGGAGGTATCTTCCTTTTGAAAGTCAAAGGAGCTTGCAAAGAAAAGCGTCTGGACTTCTTTAAGTTACTTGAAGACGTTTCACCTCTCATCCGAGAAGCTTCTTCAGTTCTAATGTCAAATGGTGGAGAGTCCCAGATATAAACCTAGTGGGAGTATCCCCCCACAGAGGGACAAAAGGACCCCCTGATGATCCTCTAATCGCCTGAGCCAAGGTGGGAAACTGGGCGTGGGTCCCAATCAGCCAGAGTTTCGGGTGTGTTCATTGTGAAACCTGGCCCCACTTATCATGCGAATTCCTGAGGTCAGATGGCCCAGGATGTGAGTGGGCGGCGTCTGGGAAGGGATCTCAAAACTGGATTATAGATGGCAGAGAGTTGGTGTCGTAAACCACCGCCTCTGTTCAAAGATGGTCGCTCACAGTGGACATAGATGATAGATGGCTTCTTTCACTCCTCTTTCAAACCATCTGTCCTCTCTGTCCAAAATGTGAACATTGACATCCTCGAAAGAGTGTCCTTTATCCTTAAGATGCAGATGGACTGCTGAGTCTTGTCCTGTGGAGGTGGCTCTTCTGTGTTGTGCCATGCACTTGTGAAGTGGCTGTTTGGTCTCTCCAATGTAGAGGTCTGAGCATTCCTCGCTGCACTGTACAGCATACACCACATTGTTAAGTTTGTGTCTTGGCATTTTGTCTTTCGGGTGAACCAGTTTCTGTCTGAGCGTGTTGCTGGGTCTGAAATACACCGGGATGTCATGCTTGGAGAAAACTCTCCTGAGTTTCTCTGATACACCGGCTACATAGGGGATGACAATGTTGTTGCGTCTGTCCTTCTTATCCTCCCTCGCTGGTGTCTGATCTTCTTTTCTGTGCCTCTTTGCTGACTTTAAAAACGCCCATTTAGGATAGCTGCAAGTTTTGAGTGCTTCCTTTACATGTGTGTGTTCCTTCTTTTTTCCTTCAGGCTCAGAGGGAACATGTTCTGCCCGGTGGTGTAGGGTCCTGATTACTCCTGATTTGGACCCACACCCAGTTTCACACCTTGGCTCAGGCGATTAGAGGATCATCAGGGGGTCCTTTTGTCCCTCTGTGGGGGGTTACTCCCACTAGGTTTATATCTGGGACTCTCCACCATTTGACCTTAGAACTGAAGAAGCTTCTCGGATGAGAGGTGAAACGTCTTCAAGCAACTTAAAGAAGTCCAGACGCTTTTCTTTGCAAGCTCCTTTGACTACGATGACCTGGATGACTGAGAACCTTCACAGACATCTTCCTTTTGAAAGCGAGTTTTTTTCCCTCCCACTGCCAGCAAGTGTTTGCTCACAGGTCGTCATTAGACTGTTGGGATTTTCTCTGTATTACAGTAGGGTGTTTCCCTTACAATATACAGCACCTTGAGGAAACTTGCTGTGATTCGGTGCTATATAAATAAAAAAAATTTAATTGAACTGAACCCATTCGCACACATATCCATACCTTATAATGTTCACACACACACACTCCAATCAATGCACGAGGAGCAACTCAAGGTTCAGTATCTCGCTTGACATGCAGACTGGAGGAACTGGGGATCAAAGCACTAACTTTACAATTACCACATGACCCACCCACTAAACCTACAGACCCTGGCGCTCTCGGGCTGTCTCTAAACAACTGTGCTTATCTTTTAGGTCAAATCAGATTGGGTGTGCTCAGGGTGGTGCAGCTGTAAGCCATAATAGATGTAGCCAATCTATGCTGTAGGAGTTTAATATAGCTAAATTCTCATATTATCACTCATATTATCTTCATTTGTGCAGTCTTGAAGTGTAATAAATGTACAGTTGCAAATGGCAGTTTGTTTTAGCACATGTAGCTGATCACTGCACCAATTAAGGAGTGATCATCAAAAAATATAGAAAGTCAAATTTTCAAATGGCTGAGCAGGAAAAACACAGGTGTTACTGTTTGCATTGATAATATCCCCATTCTGTCTATAACAGTGATAAAACAAGAATAAAGCTAATTTGAATATCGCCTCCCAAAAAAGCGTGTGCTACAAGACATGATCAAATGAGTCTGTGTTATTACTTTAAGTTTGAAATCATTGCATATCCAACCGGTAGTCAGCAGCAAGGACAGCAGGGGTGTTTCTTTGAATTGTGGCCACTTTTCCTAGAAACCTTGGAAACCTATGACCAAGCGCCTTGTCATAGGGGAGTAATCTGACTGAAGGTGAATGTTCTTGTGATTTGGTGCCATATAAATAAAACCAAATAGAAAGTCAGCACTGTCTTTAAGCCTTATATGATTCGAGAAGAGAACAAAGAAAAAAAACAAAAGAGTTGACCTCTGGGGGTGACAGCTGTCTTGGCTTCAGGAGGGATCAGACGTTTTACAACCAAACCACAGAGCCAGTAGATAATTATGTACATTAGCAGGGCCTTGTCACTGGCACACCTACAGTCAATAGATTGCAACACAGTGACTCGTAATAACTTCCAGAAGCAAGGTCAACTTCATGACATCACACAGTATGTAAAAGGTTAAGACACCACATGAAATATATATAGACCTTGTTCACGCAGTTCTTTTGATTTTCTTTTGGTATTGCTTAATGCTTCGTTTTAAGCCACCAGCAAATCTTTCAGACAAGAAAAAAGAGTCACTTCCTGATCTCTGCTCCTGAAATCTAAATCACCATAAAACACACCCAGGTGGTTTTACACACCCATGCAGTAGTATATGAAGATATTTGCGTGCAGTTAAATGTCTGAACAGTTATGATCACGGATGGGTTGCAAGTTCACTACAAGCAGATTATAGCAGGTGGCCGCAGGTGGCTGCGATACTAACTGCTAATGTTGTGGCCGCAAGTATGTGACTATGAGCGCATAGTGTTCATAATCTAGTGTCACAGCTATCAAGCAAGTATGAAAACATCCATCTACCGTCACGCACTTACAAAGACATGGAATGTTAAGCATGTTCGCCCACACACACACAAACAAGAAAGTTTTTAGCCTTTACACTAAAAAAAATTAATAATTTTCCCCTAATTTAGGCTTTTACAATCATCTTACTCCTTGGAGTCTGACACAGCATCACTCACACACTGCCTTGTTCCACTCGTCTTAATTAAACTGTAATTATCAACACGAATACGTAACAAATAAAATAAACTGGCCAGTCTTCAGCCTCGCATTTCATGTGACTCGCCATTGTGATTTAAGATTTAACACACAGCCAAGATTTCATGGGCGAAAAGAACTCACCTTTACCACTTCCACTCCATGGTGTCTGTAGGAAAACATATTAAAATGCTTATTGTCTATTGTTATGTTAGACATAATGAACAAGACTATGCTGACAAATCATTCAGTATAGAGAATTTTACAGTTGAATAGCCTCATAGTAAAACAATAAGTACACTTACGCACAGAACCGTATGAACGCGTCTAGGTTCATCCTCCTGCGCTTCTTGTCACTGAGCCAGCAGCCCACCCTGCGCTCTGACATCCGGACCCCTGCAGCCGAGGGACCGCACACGCGCACGGACAGACGATCCATTCATCCCTTCCCTCTGCCACTTCTGCTCGGGAGTGTCGAGTCCTCTCGCTCTTTTATGGGGACAGTCATGAGTCATGGTTGTCTGAGTCCGCACAGGAGGAGCGAGAGGGCCAGTTTAACTAGTAAAGTCTCTGACTTCCTCGTTGGCGCTGCCATCCAATTAAAGCGGCCGGGGCCGGTCATGGAGCCGCTCTGAGCGAAAAACTGAAAGAGAAAGTAAAAATCCTGTCGGGGAAGTTACTCCATTAGCCTGCTTTCACGGCAGTAGCACAGGCATGTCATTTCCTATTATCTGACTCTTGAAAAACACTCGAAGTATCGATTATTTGCGTGCTCATATAGACATATTGAGTAAAGTTCACCTGAGGTCACAAGGAGGAAGATGTCCCGAGGGTCCAACGCAGGTTTTGACCGACACATCACCATTTTTTCACCAGAGGGCCGCCTGTACCAAGTCGGTAAGGGACATTTTCTGTTGTGTGTTAGCTAACAGCAAACCCGGACCATGCCTAGTGTACAGTACAGTAGCACAGTCATTACCAGGTGTGAGCTACCTGCTGCTGCTAATCGAAACAACACTACAAGAACATGATGGAGCAAAAGTAGCTAGCTTCTTCTGGTTTCGGTGCGGAGTACGGTTAGCGTCCAAGTTGAACACGTACTAGTTGCTATACCTGTTTTTACTCAAGCTTGAATGTTTATAACCTAGTTAAATTGCAATATGAATAACTGCACACAGTTAGTAGTTAGTTTGAGTTAGTTTTATTCTTTATGTGTGCTTTTAGTGTTTGAAGTATCCCGAAAAGAGAAAAAAATAGTTCCTCTAAGTTGTTTTCCTAACTATCATGGGCTAACTCGGTGCCTTCCCCCTCATAAATTAAATAATCAGATTAAAAAAATAAAGGGGGAGGTTTATGTTGTTATTTTTTCTCATATGTGTCTTGTGCTGCGATGCAGAGTATGCCTTCAAAGCCATCTCTCAGGGCGGGTTGACCTCCGTTGGGATCCGGGGTAAGGACACCTCGGTGGTGGTCACACAAAAGAAAGTTCCGGTAAGACCTCAAACGCGTCTCACTAGTGATGATGCTTATGATGATGATGTGAGCTGAAGCCAAACAGTGAGGCCACTTATGACTCAAAGCATGTCAGCAAAAAGCTTGAATAAGATACCCTGTATATAACGCGATAGGGCCTCAAACACACCTTTGGCATGTTTTTTATTCTCCTATGTCAGCTTCATCATCTAGTCACTGCAGTTATGGATGTTATGGAGTGTGCACGGATCCAGATATGATCCAGGAGACCCATTCATTTATCCAATTTAGGGTTACAGGAGGGCTGGAACTATGATAGGGTGAAAGGCAGGGTCTTTCAGAGACCACAAAGGCCTTCTGGAGAAAGGTTTTAATGCCAGACAAGACAAATATTGAGCTATTTGGCCACAATGGCAAGAGGTATGTTAGAGGAGTAAAGCTGCGGCTTTCAAACCCAAGAGCACCAAGAGTCTTAAGTTGCCCTTGGGCTGTTTTGCTGTACCAGTGGTACTGGTACAAGATGTAGCAGTACCCAAAGAACCAACCTTAGCCCTGTTGAAAATTTGTGGACTATGCTTCAGATGTCATGATGTTCCTAAAAACCAAAATAAATGAACTCTACCAATTCGAGCAGAAGGACTGGTCATATATCCAGCCAGAATTATACTAGAACCTTTTTGATGGCTACCAAAAGTGTCCAGCTTGCTAAGGCACATTTAACCAATGATTAGTGGGGGTGTCTGTATATAATTGATCCCATGTATAAATATTTCATCCTATGTGAATTAGAGAAAAAGACCCTGGAAAAAGAACATCACAAAAAACAAAAGAAAAGGAAAAAGGAAATTATCAGAAGATCAAAGTGCTTAAAACCATCAGAGATGCATTTCATGAGTCTAAATTGTTACTTTGACAAAATACTGCAGTGTCTAGATTTATAAAGTTGGATCATTTTTCCTACAGGATAAGCTGCTGGACTCTTCCACTGTGACCAACATGTTCAAACTAACACCTCGCATTGGCTGCGTGATGACCGGGCACAATGGTATGTATACATCACTTAACAGCATGCATTTCATTATGATAATGTGTATGCTGTGCTGTCATAAATAATAATGAATAAATATGAGACGTGATGTATGTGTTGTTAAAGTGTTGATGTTCTTTTTGTGTGTAATTACACTCAAATCCTGTTGTTTCTGTGCAGCTGACAGTCGTTCCCAGGTTCACCGGGCCCGAGTGGAAGCTGGGGAATGGAAGTATAAATTTGGTTATGACATCACGGCAGACGTGTTGTGTCGCAGGTTGGCTGATATCTCTCAGGTGTACACGCAGAATGCTGAAATGAGACCTCTAGGCTGCTGTAAGTAGGCGCTTACGTGCATTTTCACATTTTATTTGCGTTAATATATAGATATAATTAATAGTTAAGACAGTTTAATTTAAGGGACACATTAATAACACATATAAGAGCTCATTAAAAACTGACTGCATGTGCACTGAATGTTCACAATCTGAAGGACGGCTGTCTTAAGTTGTCCCCGTGTGCTCCCAGGTATGATCATGGTGGCCATTGACCCCCAGCACGGTCCTGTCCTTTATAAATGTGACCCGGCAGGCTATTACTGTGGCTTCAGAGCCACGGCGGTTGGAGCCAAACAGACGGAGGCTAACAGCTACCTGGAGAAGAAGCTGAAGAAAAAGCCAGAACTCAACCATGACAGGACAGTGCAGGTAAAATGAAGCTTGATGAAAACACACTTTCTCTGAATTATTGATGCGATGCCTCCAATTTTAGTCGAAAAGGTGAGTTATGCGGTGGTGGTAAAAGCTGCTGGGTGGAATCGAAAGGATTGTCCTCCAACAGAAAGGCCAAGGTATACCAACAGTGTCCCTGAATAAAACACTGGATTCCTGTCTGTCGTTATACAGGATGTTTTTACATCCTGCAAAAGTCAAATCTGTGCCTTTATCACTGGTATAGTCACTGCCTTGAAATTATCTGCCTCACCTAGGATTAGCTCATCATACATTGTTGAATTTGTTTTTCCTATACCTGCTCATTCCCAGAATAGCAGCCTCTGATGCACTTGGCCTTTTACCTTTGTTAGAATATCAACATCTCAGTGGTTGTATGTCAGTGAAGGAGAGGGTGTTGCATGATTTCAGCATCTCTGATTGAGATATGATTTACAAGAGGATGACCTGTGAGCAAACAGGTCAATGTGACAATGAACCATAGCAGCCTGTCCTTATAACAGTTTCACATTGCCATTCATGTGACTCTGAACTTACCTCATAAAGTGTGACGTTTCCAGTAACATGAACCCTGCTTACATGTCTCAGGTCATCTCACCTGTAAAGAATCACTGATGCTGGCCTTACACCAAATAACTCTCAGGCAATATCAGTGTCGAAGACAAATGTCCCGTGTCACGACAAAATATTGGCAGTTTTCTGTCATCTCGATTGTCTCAGTCAAAGCTGCCTTAAGTTGGTGTTGTTGTCGTCTCCATATTCCATAGGAATCACCCACGTTTGATTCAGTTGTAAGTCTTTGGTCATGGCTCAGGCAAATCACTTTCATGAACATGGTTGACACCCAGTAGCTTCTCTTCCTCCGGTCTCATTCTCAGTGGCATCTTATGTATGCAGCACCTTCTGTTTAATGCTCAGTTGTCCAGCATTGTGTGATATTGTTAAAGGCAATTTGGTTACTTGGAAATAATAACCCTGAAAAAAATTCCCAGTGTTTGCAAAATCTTACAATCTATGACTACAAACTTTCAGTCAAGACACAGCATCTCTAGATGCTTCAGAAGTGCTTTTAAAGTCTTCTAGTGTGTGGTTGGCATTATACATTTTGTGTGACGATCGCTAAAACTGCCTGCTGAGTTGTCTATGATGTATTTAACGACATACACTATATGGACAAAAGTGTTGGGCCGCACCTCTTAATCTTTGAATTCAAGTATTGCCAGTCCCATTGCCACATGTGTACAAAGTCATGCACCGAGCAATGCAGTCTGCCACAAACGATTATTTTGAGAGTCGACTAGTCACCGTTATTTTTGCGATTAGTCGACTAATCAGATCATGCATCCATTGGACGTAAAACGTACAGCTTACTGCACCAGCAGCATCTGCTCTTATATAACTATCATTAGCTTACAGCTTGAAGTATTTAAGGTATGTGCTAACTAAAAATAAGGACAAGATGATAGTTTGTTAAATTTTAATGAAATCTGCAGGTTGTTTCAGTGAAGTTTAATAAACTCAGCCGTCTGCTCCTTGCTATCTAAAATATAACAGGACACTGGAGTAAATTCTCCAGCATCTCACACTTCTGATAATCAGTTGTCTGCTTGACGTTTATTCAGCTGTGTAAAAACTTTATTTCTCAGCCAAACCGATTTACTCAGGAACAAATAAAATACTAAAAAAGCCAAAGAATAACATTTTTAAGTTATCTAAGTGACTTATATTACATGTTTAACCTGCGTAGCGAAAGACGGCGGTGGGTTTGAAAACGATTTGCCGGGAGTCCGGTGTTCTCACGGGCTCTAGTGAGCCTAGCCCCCGGCTAGCTATCGAGCTAGTGGGTAACAGACGTCTCCGAAAACGTCAGAGCGCTTTTGAAAATATGTGGTGTCTTGATAAACTGAGCAGATATTTGAGGTTTACACAGCTACATTCAGCCTGAAAATATGTTAAACTTTTTTTTTGTGACCCAAAAAGAATAATAAGAGTAATATTAAAACTAACTAGCTGCCGCCATTGTTGGAAACTGAGCTGGGCTGCGCTATGAATTCTGGGACAGAGCTTCTTCTTCTTCGGGGTGTAACGGCAGCTGGCATCCTTGTACATGCAGTGCTGCCATCTTCTGTTTCAGTCCGTTATTACACTCAGCGCACCAGCTGTCTCAGTAACTGCAGAGGTTCAAACCTTCTCTAACATTAACGTCAACAGAAGAGTGTGCACTGGGAGCTTCACGGCCTGGGTTCCCTGTGACCAACAGGATTCTGTAGGTATAATGTGTAGGCCTGTGCTTTAGTCCATATATTGTATCTTTTGCAGTGTAAACCCTAATGTGTCCTGATGTGTCCCTTGAAAAATGAGCCATGAGGGCAGATGTGGTGGTACTTTTTCTTTTGTCCTGTTCCCTTTTTGTTCAGCCAGTGTCAACATTTAGAGGGGTTTAAACGTCAAATCTGACTTGGCCTTTAAAAACCTGAATACTAGTGGTCACCTGAGCACACTATAGAAGCAGGTGTAAACCATGATTTTGTTCATGATGTTGGAGTCAGGCCAGTTAACCAAGTGTAAACTGAACCAAGCCTGAAAATCGCCCAATGCCAGAGAATCAACCAGCATTCCTCAAAACTATTAAAACCTTTTGAATGACTTGCAATACAACCTGTGTTGTAGGAAAACGCACCTGAAACAACATTTTCCTTTCGGCTTTCTCTCCTCTGTGCACCTTGTTAGTCTGTGAAGTTGTACTCTGCTTTCGCTCTGACCGAAAATCCTCTTTAATGTTCTGACTGAAGGATTTTTTCTTTCCTGTCTTTCCAGTTGGCCATTTCCTGTCTGTCCTCTGTCCTGTCAGTGGACTTCAAGGCCAGTGAGCTGGAGATCGGCATAGTGACCAAAGACAAACCTAAGTTCAGGTAACTTCATTCACACACTGGTTTCACCACATGGGTCATGACTGAGGTTCTGCTCTAGATTTTTACCCTGAAAGAAACGTGGCATTGTTTATTATTTTAGGTGCTTTTATTGCAAATACGAGTTTACTTTTTTGTTTTGGTTCATTCCGTTTATATTGTTTGTCAGATGCTTTTTATTTTTTTGTCAGTCTGGTAATTATACAGGATTTGAATCTCTCTGTTTTGAAGGACTTAACATGGCCATGTCTGACTTCTGTTCTTCCACTTTTCCTCCCTCCTCTCCTTCTGGCAGGACACTCGCTGAAGAAGAAATTGAAACCCACTTGGTTGCCATAGCAGAGCGGGAGTAGAGACACCCTTGCAAACATTGGTCTGTGATTTATCATAGTCTGCTATAGTCGGTGTGCTTGATTTAGTCTAATTTACCAATGCTGTTCCACTGTACACAGTCGGTCACCTCATATCCAGACAGATTAATCAAGCGCACCTGATGAAGAAACTGTGCTAAAAAGGATCGATACATGTTTGATTCATAGTGATAGGACACATGTCTCCAGTGGGCTTTTTTAAAACAGTTCTGTATAGAGTAGTAATGCCATTTTTAAATTTTGATCTTGCACCTAAAGCGACTAGCTAAACTTTTGTTGGATGCTGGTTTGTGCATAATATTTATCATACAGCATTTTTAGGACTGTATGTTTATAACAACACTCTCCAAAGATCATAATAAAACTGTCCCTGGGAGTCATACTTAATGCTTTTTAAGCAACTCACAATAAAACTGAATGCAAAGAAGACTGAGCAATGTCGTGTGTTGGTTTAACGTGAACGGATTAAGGATAAGGATACGTATTCATGAGCAAGAACTAAGGATCCAGGATTTAGACGGGGTAGACTAATGAGGCCATTAGAAACATTCATGTGTTCATTTATGTTAGCTGCAGCTAAAGCAGATTTAATTTTAAAAAGCAATCACAGTTTATGAGGCTCTTGTGTTGAAATGTATGTGGCTTCTCTGCCTGTTCTTCACTGTTGAATGTCCTGCGTTTCTTCTTGTGACCACTAGATGGCAGTGGTGTGCCTGCTTCCAGCCTCTGAGTATTTCATAACACAATTTGTTCTTCTTTGTACTTTTCTATTTACAGAAATCTATTTTGACTCTTGTAAACTATTACGCTTCCAAGTCTTTGGGGATTGCGTGTCTGTATGTGTGTCACACTGCCAATCGTGCATTTCCACTTTGTTATTTGTCCCTTGTTGTGTGTCTTGCCAGTCCACCAGAAAGACACACTGTGACCCACCATTTACAAAATGTCACCTGGCAGTCTGAAAGGATAAGTGTTTCTCAGCCACGCACGCACATATTCACTCTTAAAATGAACACGTACAATGACAGAGAACAGCAGCGTGTTTATGCTTTTACTTTATTATTAGAAGCAGATTACATGAATATCCTGTTAGTTTACAGAAGTTAAACTGTGATCCTACATTATTAATAATGCTGATTCTCTCATTGACAACAATATTTATTACTTACCTGCCAAGTAGTTTCACAGTATTCACTGCCCTGAAATTGTCTTAAACAAATACTGTACCGTTGCAATATCTCTATGGTAGCCATGTGATGTTACACATCATACACGTGTTTGTTCTGCACCAGTTTCCAGTAGTTTGTGTTTCATCTTGTTTGTTGTTTATGAGCTCTCTTTGCTCCTCGGTGCTGTCCTGTTTCCTTACCACCCCCAGCTGCCCCACAGCCTGCTGAGGTCTCTTCTTTCCCACAGTCACCAAGTGGTCTGGGGGTTGTTCCATTCATTAGAATTTACATCTGATATTTCAGGGTCTTTACCTTACAGTGTAAAGCTCATAGAGATAACTGCTGTTGTGAACTGGTGCTATGTAATGTAACTTTACTAATGCCCATCCAATAATACATTTTAAAGTTAAGATTAATACTTTAAGGTCATTTGAAAGCTTACAGGACTGAGAAGAAGGATATTTAAAGACTAGATTCTCAATTTGTTTGCAGACACATTAAGGATTTAGACTGAGAGCATCAAAAAGCCCTGCTAGTCTTGTTAAAGCTCCTAGTGGTTGGAGCACGGTCCTAAGTTGCATTGATAGGCTTTAAGTGTCTCGCCTTCAATTACTTTATGGGAGCATTTCTGTACTTCTTAGATAACATAAGATTGTGTATTAAGGTATAAGCGTTGGCACATAAACTCTTATGATGGCCTGTTTTAACAGGATGGGAACAGTGCTGCAGTGTAGCATAAAGATCATATATATATATATATATATATATATATATATATATATATATATATATATATGTGTGTGTGTGTGTGTGTGTGTGTGTGTGTGTGTGTGTGTGTGTGTGTAAATCTTTCAGTTTAGCATTTTAACCGGTAAAACCAGCTGGCTCTTCAACCCCCATTGCTGCATTGCATGCACAGGAACCTGGAAAAACACAGAACACAAAGAACGCTGTCAGCACTGGCAGGTTCATAGTTTACATAAATGCAGACAGACATGAAAAAGTCTCCACCAATAAAAGTGTTGAACTCGTAGATATGCTAGCTATACTTAGTGGATCCACACCGCAAAAGTTAGTTGGAGTACTGCAACCTTTACATGTTCCAGTCCCCAGTTTTTAGATACTTTATTCTGGCAGAAACATTGACTGTTACAGCCATGGACTGTATACAAAAGATGGACATGGCCACCATAAAGCAGACTGAGAAGCCACTGCATGCTGATTAGCTAGCAATTTGTCAAACAAAGTGAAGCATATCCTGCTTTATCCTCCTTTTTTACTTTAATTAAGTCTGTGATTAGCACATAAAACATTTTGTTATATAATATATGATTTGCAACTAGCAATTGAGATCATAACTAATTAAAACGTGTTTACTGAGATCAAACAGCAAGAAAACTGAAGGGATGTTCTCCCCTAGACCTCTACACAATTGGACTCAAGTCACACCCATTCTGGCTATTAAAAGGACAGATCTATGTCACTTTTCAGAGCTGGTAGCATTGTCCATCTTTTATATACAGTCTATAACTCTAGCACAGGGGTTATATAACAGCAATGTGAATGGTCTCTTCATTTAAGTTTCAAACTGCAGTAACAAAATATCTTTAATGAAAAAGACCAATCTGTGCTTGAGATTAATTTAGGGATTACCACACAGTAGGACAGAGGAAGGTGGAAAGGGAGGTCCTATTTTAAGCTGTTTTAAAATTAATTATAGTAGAAGATGTAAGTGAAGATTTTTATGGGAAAAGAAGACATGACAGAAGATTTACAGGATTGGAAAGAAAATGACTGAAGTGGATCTTTAAATTTGAAAAAATAAAGACTTTGTAATGGAAAAGAAATATCACCACACACAATTAACTATAAGACCGCTCCCCTTTCATTTTCTTATGGTGTATTATTGAATACTAGATGTTTTATAAAACTTTAAGAATAATTAAACAGTTAATTTATATATATGTGTATTTTCATAAACATCTTTATAGTTTTTTTTCTCTTAAGGTCATACCCCTGCCCACTGCTATCAAGACTTGCTCGTCTTATTCTATGGTGTATTTAACAAAGTGGTGCCTTTTTAATTTTTGAATTGATTTGTACTCAGACTCCCCTAAGTATCTTTTCCCATGTCCTCTCCTCACCACATACCCTTCATTTTTCCCTGTGCCTTTTTTTCTCATCCCTACAAACACACCACTTCTCTCGTATTCGCAGCCCCATAACCCTCTTTTTCCTCAGGCACCTTCACCTCACAGCTGTTCTGCTCCTCTCTGTTCTGGCCATACCTCAAGCGCTAATGCCACCTGTTTCTTACCTCCATGCCTGAACTCCTGCAGCTCATACCCCTCTACCTCGCATTTATCCTTCCTTTTCCCCCATCACTCCCCCACCATATGAAATGTTGACCCTGTGGCTGGTGTCTCCTGGTACTGTGAGTGCCTGCCAAGCTAAATGGGCCCAGAGCACTGGCCATGTGTGTGTGTGTGTGGGGGGTCACAGCGTGGGGATTAGGTGTGTGTGAGTGATTGAGGGTGACAGCGGCCCTAGCATTAGGTGCCCTGTGGCAGATTTCGTAGGCCTGTTTTAGACACACTAAGCTGGATTTACCAGCAGCAGTGTGTCAGCAGTGATGCAGTCTGGTTGGACCTCCTACAGAACACACACACACACACACACACACACACACACACACACACACACACACACACACACACACACACACACACAGGACCCAGCAATCCACCTGTAACCAGTCTTGGCTGTCCCATTAACCCTTCCTTTCTGTCCATCATAACCTTTTTACACTCCTGTAAATATGCATCAGCAGCACAGTGGACCCCATGATGCAGGCAGGCCACTGTAGCGTGCTCTAAGTGTCCTCTGAATCTTGACAAACAACATCGAAACAAACAACGTTAAGGACACGTTGCATTTCAGTGCAACCAGTGGCTTACCTCACTTACCAGTACACTTACTCAATGGGTGAATTTTTACATATAAAGTTACACTTGTGTTGAATATTATGGCATTAAAAAAGCGTTTTACTTTGCTGACAAAAGAAGGCAAAAGAGAATATGGGTTAGCATGCAGTCAGTCTCATGACCATCAGACAATGCTCATGATGTAGCCTCCAGCTCTTCTGAGATGGCTTTCATTTCTGCTGTGAAGGTGTGATTGTTAAAAAAAAAAGAGCACACACACACATGCAGATGTGTAGCTACATCTATATATTGTGTTTCCTGCAAATTGTATGTCCCTTGCATGAGCAGTACTATATGATTGAAATCACAATTATGGTTTTTCTTTGCCACTGAGTTGCATGCTGGGTAGATTGCTGTGTATGTGTGGTCACTTTAGTACTTTGTGAGAGGGCCTCTCAATCTGCACATGTGTATTGATGCTCAATTGTCTGTGTATATGTGTGTGTTTTATGTGATACCCATGCACCACTATTTGCACACCTTTGTCCGTCTGTGTGAGTGTGTGCACAAGTGTGCATTTGCGCGCCTGCTCACTCTCACATCTCTGTTACAGCCTGTCCATTGTGAACAAGAGTGTTGAGCAAGATCCTGACCCACCGGTGGGTACTAATCACACACATTCCTCAGGATTAAACAGCCAATTAACAATAAGAGCGCCATTGTCGCCCTGTCTCCTTGTGCGTCACACGTAAAAGGTTTTCTGTGTGTGTGTATGTGTACCGAGCGAGTGCGCGCGACTCTGTTTGTGTGCCGAGTGCATGTGCCTTTGGACGAGCACGAAGCCAAGGTGCTTTTCTGCTGATCAGAAAGAACTCTTTGTGCTCCTGTGGCGATGTGTTACAATATTAACATGAAATCGATGGCTTCATAACTGAGATTAAACAGAAACTGTGTGCAGCGTAAAAACAGCGTTGATAGAGAGAAAGATGTTCTGTAAATGCAAGATGTGTGTGTGTTTGTTTATGTGTATTTTGGCACAGTGTTCTTATTAATGAAGCAAGATAAACCAGGACCTACTGAGACAACAGTGGCAGCTCCACCCGCTACAGAGCAATAAACATTCCTTGTAATTCTACTCTGTTCTGTTCGTTAGTATATGCATTTGTGAGACTGTGTGTGTGTATGCATGATTGCATATATAAATGGTACCTTCAGTACCATTCAGTGTGTGTGTGTATGTGTGTGTGTGTCCATAGGGTGGGTGTATGCATCAGTGTGGCACGTGTCGGAGTGTGGCTGAGGATTAGTGAGGCTCAGGGCCTGTTGCTCCACTTCC